TGCTAAACTGAACTAGATCATTAGTCTTCATACTATTGCCAACCTATTTAAATATCAATAATTTATTACAACGCACATATCAGAACCTTTACAATAGACTCGAGAGCTAAAGTGAGCTGCCCAGAAGATGTATATATTTGGGACTAATCATCAAGGGTACTTAAGTAGCCAGCTCTCAGAAGTTCTAGGTCCTTTTTTGCCATCACCTAATGGGTGGAAGAGTTAACAAATTGGGTTCTAATTTCTCAGGCCACTATAAAGTTTTTATAAAATGGGAAACAAACATTTAATAATTGAGATTGCTCAGGGTACTGTGTTAAACTGAGTACATAATCAATACCTGAGACCCCTTACCCCCATAAGCCAAGAGTAGAAGGAAGCATTTTCAGGATTCCAGAACAATCCAAACATTCAGCTAATAATGTAGTTGGGGACTGACCCCTAAACTAAGAGTTCAATTAGTCTGATGTTGGGATTAAAACATGATTAAAAGTTTGGCTACTAATGTTGTTAGGGATCATTCCCAAACTACATAACCATATCCTCTTAATGTCAAATTCCAAACCCAATCTAAGCTATTAAATGATACAATTTTTAGATATAAAAGTGAGCAACAGAAACCCCAAAAAGCAAATCAGTTAAATCTTATTTTGGAGTCACTTTGTGATTGTCTCCAAAGTTTAATCCCCAATTTCCTCTAAAGAATAATCTGTTTAAATAAACTGGGGTAATTTTCTGTTTGTTGGATTTTTATTCAGTTATTAGTATTGAATGTATATTATAAGTATATTCATCAATTAAGAAGTTTCTCTTTAGCTGTATATTATAAACTTGAAAATAAATTTAAAATTTTATGTCTGGGTCTTTGAAAACCTAAACAAATTCATGGTTGGTTGGATTAAATCCTCTATCCTGACACTGATATTGACGTCACCTAGTTTATTTTATTTATAAATAAAAAAGATATCTTATAGCCCTGGTGATATTGTCTACCTCAGGTTAGATGCTAAAATCCCTTTCTAATCAATCCCAACAGTCCTTATCTGGGTGTTCTTTATCACTGATCAAATCTAAACATTGGTTCCAGAGATGTTCCTTTTTCTAGTCATTACAAAAGAGTTTTATGATCAAAATTTAAGCATGACTTAAGTGGGATTAGATTTGAAGGAGGAAGTGAAATAAAAAACTAAATTCTGGCAAAATTAAAATGACTGGGTACACAACTGCTTGTACTACTGTAATAAGAAGTCTTTGTTGCTTCCAAAATTACCCTATAAAACTGCTAAGATTTCTAGGGTCTGTAACTTATATTTTTCTCAATTAGTCTTTTTGTGGGAATCGACCTTATGCAGAAAATGGAATTTTAATATGAGTTTGAAAAATAATGTTAAAAGATTGCCAGAGTGGAGAGGACGCTTCCAGAGTTATAATAAGATACTATATCTGCTGCTCTTAAAAGGATAAGAAAAATTTAGTAAAATGAAACAAATTAAAATTATTCAATTACCCAATAGTTAAGCACAAAATTAAGGATTTCTTCAAGAGCACAAGTTCAGGGCAAATGGTGAGTTGTCCCCATCTAAGGAAAATTTATTATTTCTATCACCAGTAATTTCACTTTATGTTAAAAAGTAATCTCTGAACAGGCCTCCAAGGGTTTAATTTTTTAACTAAAACAGCTTCCTTTATGATGACAGGAAACACAATCTGAGCTGGTAATTATTCCGTAAACTTGACCTTTTTAACTATATTATTTAGGAACTTCTGTCTGTTGCAAATTTACATCTGCTACATTAGGAACTCTATTAGAGTGCCAGGCCAACAGTATGATGACTGCTGATCCTCACTTTTTACCTTCATATGCTACCTTTCACTAAAAGTCTGCAGCACAACTCCCCAATCTAGCAGATCAACAACTTCACCTTGGACCAATTAACCCACCTCAGGAGGCACATAGTGAACTCTCCCCCTTCCCAGGTGGCCTGGCTCCTGTGCCACCATCTCCTTCGAGGTTAGTCCCCTTTAGCCCCTCATTATTTCATCTAAGTGGGAAAATCCCCTCAGGACTTCCTTGTAGATCCAGGTATTGGGGTTGGTAGCGCTGACCACCCCTAGGTGCACTCACCCAGCACCTAACCTTGAAGATCATCATCCCACCCTCCACTGCCAATTACCCTCTTCCTTCATTGAAACAATAAAAGTAAGCTAAAAAACTATCTATATTAAGATTAGATTTCAACTATCTATACTTAGGCGTTGCTATGAAAATTCACTGCCCGCCTATCAACAATTAGCAGCATTTATCACTGGCATCCCATCTAATAATCAGCAATCGCTGCTGGCAATCATTCCCTATTGATTAGTTACTATAAAACTCTGTATATTATTTCAATTCACCCTTAACCTTAGTCTCCAGTTCAATCATATTTAAATTATTAGTCTAGTCTTAATCAAATGTTCTCATCCTAAAATTCTGATAATTCTGAACTTTTATCAATGAAATGGCCATTGAATTGCCACCTATCAGAAAACCTAGTATAAAAGCTGGAAATTTGAATTTCTTGGCATAAGCTTCCAATAAATCACAAAATATATGATTCAATTATATTTGACTTAAGTCATCAGTAAGATTTATAAACTTAAGCGTCAAATTGGTAATCCACTATTAATTGGTGTTGGTTTATCCTTGGCCTCAAGTTTCCAGTATAACCTAATAATATATTAACAATCTTTCAGTTTTCCTAAGTGTAAATTGCCAGTAATTAAGATAATAACAATCTTTAGCTGGGAGTATCCCTAATCTTTGATATAGCTCAACTCGACTGGATGGGGAGCACAAATTGTTAATTTTATTATTAATAATATCATATAAAAATTTGTAAAAGTATGACAGCTATACCTGACTAATTAAGATCTAAATTAAGAAAATATAGGAGGAATCCATATGGTTAAATTACAATACCTCCTTAAATAACAAACTTAAATACTAGCAAAATCTAGCAAGACCAAGAGCAAGGTATTATTATTGTGGGAAATAATTTCACAAATATAGGTTCTTTCTGGCAACCTAGTGCCCACCTATCAGAAACATCAGCATCAATCATTGAAAAATAGCTTTTATTCATTGACCTGCAGCATTTGACATGCAATTGGTCATAATTTTCATCATCTTGATTTCTAATAGTAGGTGTTCATTCCCTTGAGTCTGGTTATCTAAACTATTGAGGATCATCTTCAATAACTCATGGAAGTCTAATCATCAAATTAACTATAAATGCTAATTTAGAGCTCACTCCATGGGAGCCTAAGACCCATTGAAATAGATTTTATTAATTTAATATAAGTTGGAGCTTCCTTTGCATAAGCCTAAAAGTCATCAAAGCTAATAAATCATATTGGGGATCGTCTCCAACTAATTCACTTTTACTGAAACTTAATGAAAAAAGCATAATCTGGTTAAAACCCAACAAATACCCCAATTAACCAGAATATCATCCTCCAACATGTCTACTGACCCATATACCTCTACAAAATTCCACATACTAGAGGTGGCAGAAACTCAATGGCGGTGTACATTGCAAAACACAGAACAAAGTAGGAAAGAATTGGCGTCACAAGTAGCCGCTAAAGTAATGACAGAGCCTCAAAGAGAAATAATTGGCAATCATTGGTAAGGAATTTGATGATATTAAGCTATTCCTAAAACTTCAAACAGACATCCATATATCAGTACAACCAGGTATAAAAAGGTAGCAAAATTATGTCTTCCATATGGATAGTTATTGCATGCTCTTAATAACTAAGAATGCACTCTACTAACAATACAACCATCGGAGAGATCCTTAATTGTGTATACATCTAATGCCAACTTATTGATGACCTTAAAGGGTCACTCCATAACTTGTCTAGGTTGTTTCTTCATCCAAAGCTATGAATGTCACAACAGTAAACCCTGTTGCCAATTTCAATAGTCAGAAGAGCTGGTTATTTTTCATCTTAGCGTTCTTTTGACTTGAGCTTCAACTTGAGAATATTGCTTAGGCGGAGGTTTGTAACCCTATTGGAACTTTTACCAAGTTTTCAAAATACTGTAAAGGCTTCATTGGAAGACTTGGGTCAAGTGCAGAATATAAATTATGGACAAACTAGCCTGACGCTTATAAAGAAATTCAAAAAGGACTTTCCCATTGGAGAATGATAACTTAAACTATAGGCTAAAGTCGTACCCAACAAATACATTACCCAGCTGGAAGGTTTCCTAGTGACAAGCTTCTTCAAGGTAGCAGCCAGAGTAGCAATTACCCATTTGACCATACCATTGGTTTCTGGATGGTAGGGCCTCATCAGTACTCCTTATATTCCCATTGACTCGCTCAACTTTGGAATAATATGTGATTTTAAGTTGCTCTGTTACCTTTTAGATAACCTGAAGGCAGCTTTGCCAGTAAATTGACTGCTCTTATGAACTTAGCAGTATTTCTGGCATCTAATTTAGCTATAGGACTCATATATACCCAACTAATCAGTTGATTGATTTCTATATTGATACAGTAATTTTCTCAGTACTCATGGTCAATGGTCCTACTATATTATGGATACAGTATGTCATGAAAACCAAGGATACACTAGCTAATAGTTAGAGTATTTCTTAAAAAACTTATGTTCTTGACACATTTCACAGCAACCAAAGTATTCTGAGACGCCAAAATTAAGGGATTACCAGTGGTACTCATACTGAACCTGTTCCAGAGTTTTCCATAGGCCCTCATGACTGATTAAATTATAAGCCATGTTATTAATCACAGTGCACTCAAATGGTTGTGAGAGACAATGGGGATTTTTCTTTTACAAACCTAAACAATTATTCTTGATGATCTTTATGTTTTCCATCGCTTTGATTAGTGATTGCTGATCTTGAGTGGCTGGTCCCCTGATATCATCACTAAGCATCTCCTCATACAATTCATCTGCTTCATTATGCAACACTAAAATGGCTGGCAACAGGGGTGGAAGACGAGTTGGTAAGGGCGTACAGCTACCAACCTGAAGGTTATGGGTTCAATTCCCACCCTTTGCACTTCGATTGGGGTGCCAGCCAAAGGAAGCTATTAGCGGTTAGTAGGTCTAATAACACGAATACCTTACCCATGACGTAACCAGAAAAATTTGAGTCCCAATCTGGAGGTGGAAAAACTTTCTTCAACGGAGTTGACCCTGTTCAGGTTTCATGTCATTTCTTTCTTTTGATAATGCCTGTCCCCTGGTCAGCTTGCCTTGGTTAAATAAAATAAAACAGTTGGCAACCATGGCAATCCAGAGTCATTTTGATATGTGGTCCCCGCTCAGTGTACAAGCTCATAATTATATACTTGTAACTTTAGAGAAAATCAGTGCATAGTTTAATGAAATGATTAAGGGGACCAACTGTAAGGATCATGCTGGTTGTCAGGAGTCCATTAATTTTAAGTTGGCAGGATTTCCTGACCTCAAACATACCATTGGACCAACTCTGGGTTCAGGTTAGATGTGCCCAGGTTGGTCCAGGGGATGTGCGTGATGTTTGAACCTGCATTACAGCAAGGTCATTAAAGCTCACCAGCTATATTACCACTAATGATGGTTTGCTTTGGTTGCACGGTAACTGGGCTTTTAGCCTACTTTTTTTGATATTGCTAAATCAGGTCATCTTTGCCTGCCACCAATAACTCAAATTGGTCAATCCCAACTACAGTACCCTGGCAGATGGTAGGGTGCACCTATTGGGTTGCTTAAGCTTAGCACCATTTCCCTGATTGACAATTTGCCCCACATTGGTTAAATTTGTTTCTATTAGACCAACTTTCTTTGTTGGTCAACTTCCTAAAAATAAATTCCCTATTAGTTTACATTTTTAATATGGTTCCTTGGGTGAACCTTTGCGCAGACCCCCTCATGGAGGTCTCTAACAACGTTGGCCGTTTTATTTTTAAACAAATATCCACAGATCTGGTGCACCTCTGGGCCGCCATGGTCTCCTCCAGTTTGAAGTACCCAAGTACTACAGAACATATCTCCACTTGGTTATGGACTCCCTTGGGGGTCCTACCAAGTATTGTTATTTCTTTGCTTTAACTACTACAAACCAAGTTGTACACCCTTGCCCTTAGTCCCTTTTGCTCTGCCATCCTCTCAGTGCCCTGTTTACCATATTGCTAACAACTAGCCCCTAGCGGTGTGGCTATGCATCTTGCACCACCTTGCTGGGAATGTGAGATTTACAGACACTCTCCTGTCATTAGTTGACCAATTACTTTATTTTACGTGCACTAGAATTACTTGTGTGGGGCTTTTACTGAGCGAAAATTGGGTGCACTTGCCATTTGTCACGGCTTCAAAGAGCTCACCACCGTTTTCTCATTTGGCCAATGGTTGGTGCGTCTCAGCAAAATTCTTACTACCTCCAACTGGGAAGTACCCACCCTTCTTCCTTGTAACTGGGAAATTAGGACACTTCACAATCCAGGTGTTGTTATTCCACAACTTTCTCCCAAAATTAACAAAAACAATATAATTAAAATGATTTTTTCTTAGAACTGCATTTGGATAGTGCAGGTGGGATCATCAACAAAGGGCCTGATGGTGATAGCCTTGGATAACAATGCACAAGATGCTTCCAAAATAGGTATGAGGTCATTCACGTTCCAAAACGCGTTTTATCATGATAATTCCATAAATAAAAACGAGTCAAATATCATCCCTTGTGGCTCTAGTTTAGGACCAATTTCAGTATTCTGGATCACCCAGAAAACCAGCGCTTGACCCTACCATGATCCGCATAACACAGGCGGTGGATAAGGAGTTATTTTTACAATAAAAATATTTATTTAACTTCTGAAGATATGGTGGGATATGTGACCTCAGTAGTAAGAGTGGCCAACTATCCCCCTCCTTTTTAATGCAAAACCGTACCCTGGAGGCATGCTTATGCCAGATGAAGAATTTTTCTGGTAAAGTGTTGGCGTTATCTGTTATGAAGAAAGGCCGTTTTGTATATTTTTTGTTGACTGCTACCCTTTCATTCCCTTTAGGGAAAATCGGCACAGCTAATTTGGTGGATACTGGAGCCTCTGAGAAATTTAGTGACCAAGACCTGGCCAAATACATTAAGTTAGATTTATTTACCAGAAGGCAAGGTCGGGGGAGAGACTTCCCAAGGTATTCCCACGCTGAAGGTTCTAGAGTTAGTGTATATCAAGTTGGTAATTATCATTTGTCTGACCATTTCCAACCAATCAAAAACCTCTTTTAACCCATTATTTTGAGAGTAGAGTGGTGGCGAATTTTTGACATCAGAACCAACTTGACATACAGCTCCTTGTCCTTACTTTAAAGAATAGTCATGTAATAGTTGTCCCTTTGTCTGAAGCGAACTCTCAGAGTAATCTTCCCCACTGGCCCAATATCCACACGCTCAGTCTTTCTATGTTGCTGAAGCCCTCTTTGGAGGTACTCATATCTTCCTTAATAGAGGGTCTGGAATCTTTGTTTGATTCAGCTTCAGCCAATATACTACCAGCTCATTCTGAGTTTAATTTCAAGTTCAAGACCACCATTAATCTGGTGCATATAGCCTCTCCCATTTACCCTTTGATTGTATGGGAGGAAACGTTCTTGGGTGTGTAGGTTAAAGAGCAGTTAGAAAAGGTGTGATATTTTAGTGTAACTCCCCAGTACGCTCCCCACTTCTCTTTGTGGAGAAGGCAGATGGTATCTTAACCCCATGTGTAGACTATGGAAATCTCAACAACTTCACATTACCAGACTTGCACCCCATCTCGTTGGATTCTCAAATTGCTCACTATGTGGAGAAGGCGAAAGTCTTCTCAAAACTGGATTGCCTAAATGCATTCAACCAGATCAGGATCATGAAGGACCAGGAGTGACTCATCGCTCTCCATACCCAAAAAGAAATCTTCCAGTTCTGAGTTATGCTCTTTAGGCTTAAAAATGAGCCTGCTATCATTCAACTCCATATAGATGCGGCCTTGGGACCTTCTGGGTGAGTGTGCAGTGGCTTACATGAATGATATTTTGGTGTTTTCCCCAATCTATATTCCCATGCTATACACCTTTGGAAAGTGGTGGAGAGTTTAAGGGCAGCCAAACTTACGCTGAAAAATCAGTAAGTGTTAGTTCTTTAAGTCTCAGATCACTTTCCTGGGCAACCTCATGTTTGACCAAGGCAACATGATAACTCTAGACAAGGAGAATATAACTTGCGAGTGGCCCACCTAATTTTGGTCAAGGAATTGAGGATTTTTGGGGACGTGTACGTTACTTAAGAAATTTACACCAAAGCTTACTGAAGTGGTGACACCCTTATATAAGGAGATGGGAAAAGTGCTCCAGTGGTTCCCAACTTTGCAGGATGCCTTCCAAGAGGTAAAGTACACCCTGTTCTCCATGTCCGTCCTTCTCTATGTATACTATAAAAAGGTGTTTATTGTGGCTTCTGAGGCCTCCAACTTCGCCATGGCGGTGGCCCTATTACAAGTAGGCAAAGATGGAATAAAGCATCTGGTGAGATATTTTTCCAGAAATGTCTCTGCCTGAGTTAAACTAGGCCGTATACAACAAAGAGTTCATGCAGTGATTGAGGCGCTTACCTATTGACGTCAACATTTGCATGGCTCATACCAACCCTTCCACGTACATACAGATTACCATGCCTTGTTGTACTACCGCGCATCTCATGTCTTGACCCCACGGCAGACCTGCTAGCATGAGACCCTGTCACAATTTGCATTTTATTATGAGTTACAAAGTGCAGGGAGAATGGTTTGGCTGATGCATTGAGCTGAAACCCTGCACTAGCTCCTGATCCTATAGGAGGTAATGGTACACTACACCCACTTGGTGAAACCGCTGGGTAAGATTGTGTCTCAACTTCTTTCTCCCTGGGCCCACGAACCAGCGCTTGCTCCTCTGGAAAATGCGGAGGAATATGGTATGTTCAGAAGGGTAGTCCTTTTACACACTTTGTTGGCCAAGTATACTGTGGTCCTTGCCAAGAACGAGTTAGATCAGGAAGATATTACCAGCGGTTACCATATAAAGGATGAGATGGTGTGGTTCCAGGGTCGCTTATGGGTTCCTGCTGGACCACTTAGATTGGAAATCACCTGGGGTCTCATCATGACGGAATCACCGTTGGCCATCCTAGGAAGGTAAAGTCTCTGGAGCTAATTCTTTGCACTTTCAATTGGAAAAGGTTAGCTGCGCATATGGCCAGGTTTTGTAAGGAGTGCCTGGTCTGCAACCAAATGAGCCAAAATTGCTTGCTACTAGCAGGATTTTTGTACCAGTAAAAAGGCAAAGGGCCTTATACTTCCTTACTAGTGGATTTATTGTGGAATTACCTGATCTGATGGTTATGATGCCATTATGGTAGTGGTGGACTGTTTTACGAAGGTCTCTTACTTTATTCCTTGCAGAACCACAGTCACCGCGGCTGAGATGGCTAGGCTCTTCATCACTCATGTGTTTGTGCTTCACAGTGTCCCTCATGTAATAATTAGCAATCGGGGGACTCCAGTTTACCTCTGTTTTTTTTGGGAAGAGTTATGTAAGACTCTTCAGATTTGACCCTGCCATTCAACTGTATATCACCCAAATTAGATGGGCAGACTAAACGATTGAACCAGTTCTTGAACAGTTCCTTCAGTGTTACACTGCCGCAGATGATTCAGATTGGGTTTCCCATCTCCCTATGGCCCAATTAGCTATGAAAACGCCAACATGCATCTAGCGGTTGTTCCCACTTTTTTGTTAACTATAAACACAACCCCGGCTTCAACAAGGAGCCCAGTTGTTGATCCAAGGTGGAAGCTGTGGTGGACTTTGCGAAGACAATCAAAAAATGCACTAATGGATGAACACCTATTTTGATGTGGCCATGAAAGCTTACAAGGAGAATGCTGATGGTAAAAGATGAGTTGGTCCAGCTACGAGGAAGAAGATCTCGTGATGGTGGATGCTAAAAACTTCTGAATCAAGCGACCATGCAAAAAAACTGGGACCAAAGATGATTGGGCCTTA